ATTAACTCCAACCCCTTCACTAGTTTGTACTGGTTTACGAAAATAGAATGGTTTTCGAGCAAAATAATCAACAATTAGCCATTGGAAAAGTTTAAGAAAATTTGTGGAAAATTTCAATCCTAGAGAAAGAATGACTTTCAGTCTATGAATACAAACTTTCAAAACTCAACCAACTTCTTCCTACTAACAACTTCACATAGGTGTAAGCTTCTGAGTTTGGACTTCCCGAAAGGTCACCCAACCCAATACTATTCAAACCCAAGGATGCTTAACTCTAACTAACCCAAAACCCCACTCTCTTGACATCCTACCTCTCGGGTCGAGCCTAGCGGGAGTAAATTGGACTAGCTAGATGTCAATCAACATGTGGTGTGATTCTCCTAGCCAACCGACAGAGTCAGACTTGAGACCTCTTTGATACTAAATATAAGCTTCTGAGTTTGAACCTCCTAAAAGGTTATCCAACTCAGTACTATTCAAACCCAAGGACGCTTAACTCTAACTATCCCAAAACCCTTAACTGATTGGAAAAGGGGGTGCACTTTTGTTCATGGGCCCTTTCCCTTTATATTTGAACCCCATAAATCATCTCTCGAGTCGTTCCTTTTGGTTGGTTACAATAGGTTCACCTCAATACAAATTCTCAAGACCCATAGTATGTTTAAGCCTCGAACATCTTTTTGCCCATACTTCTGACATCCAACACCGACATCTGCAAAATACAAAATGAACATCCAAGGCTTGATCACAAAAATTATATCTTTATATATCCATATTGCACTAACACTCTCCTTCAACCACCTTCAAGATCCAATGTGAAGCCCAAACACTAACAAAAAAAATAACATAGAAAATCAAGCTCTAAGGAAAATTCTCATCACTTGAAATAACAATGCTACTTCCACTAACACAAATGCTAAAGATGTCAATACCTTAATTACACATCTTCTCCATCCAACAATCTACTCCAAGTACTAATAGATTAATCAACAAGTTATAGGAAATGAATGCTATAACCTTTCCAACACCTCAATGGGCAAACTCAAGAAACTAACGTACCAACTCAAACTTAGCATAATAGACCACTATTGAGAATCTAGTCAAAACTACTACAATGCTACTACGTGCAAGTAGACTAGCTTCTCCATCAACCACTTTGGGGTTAATTATTGTTTAACCAAGTAATTTCGTAAACACATTGCTTATTATCACATAGATATGATATAAGTATCACAATGATTTGATCATTAATTGAGTAACACAATGAGCAATGCCTATATCATTACTTTAAACATTTATGTGAGTATCAAGTGCCAACTCGATTCGACAAAATACAACATAAATGCCATACTCCACCGATAGAGATTTACAACACCCAACACCACTAACTTTTATTCACAACACAAACAAACTCATACCACTCACTATCCGACCAAACTCAAAACTTAATCTAACATCAAGCTACTCAAAGAGCAATAGCAAAGTTCCTTAGAAAAGAATTAAACATTGCAACTTAAGTCTTTGAATAGCATGTCTAGACAAAATGATTTAGCACTTCATCGTTATCCATTCCACGACTCACCAGTTGTAAGACTATCATTTACAATATACACCAAGATAAGGACCCTTGGTTACATACCATGAACATGAGCAATGAGTCACACCTCGTTGCAAATCATTTCTCCAAGAAGAGAAAATGATTTACGTCTTTGATCCTTCGTCCTTGATGACTTTCTTTTCGGTCTCATCTTTGACTAAACCTCAAACTTGCATTCACACTGCCTTTAGTCTAATTCAAGAAAAGTTTATGAAAGAGCACAGCAATGATTACTTAAATCAATAGACTAATCTCTACAGTCTTGATTGATCCACTTGTAATCATGCTTAGGAAGGATTCATTAGTGCCATGCTAAACAACTATGGACTAGCCTATTTGCCACCCCTCAGGTTCCATACCACGTTCCTTTAGACATGTGGCATATGACATGTGGCATCTGTCATGTGGCACAAAGAGGGTTTACGTTCCACTTTGTGGTATTATCTTATGGTAAATCACCATAGGATAGAGGGTAAAAACCACGTGTGTTACATTTGGTATCAGAGGATACATCTCAGCAAATACTATTCAATGAGATTGGGCAACTAGTTTTGTTGCATATGCAGAGATGAAAATGATGATCCGAGTGGGTACACATTTGGGTGCAAAGACTTCACAATTTTTCCTTGAGTATAGATTTGGTTACCTTGTTATACTGTAATAATGTGAGATTGCTCTTGGGCTCATAAGTGGGATTGAGTTGTTCCGTTTGCACAAGTTTCTGCTTGGGCTCGTGAGTGAAGCACATTAGCAACTCAAGATTACACTTTGAGTTGGCAGGATTAATGTTAACGTATCAGTGGTTTTATGAGTTATTCTATGTACCATGGGTGAAAGTAAATCTTCCCTAGGTTTGCTATCTTGTGCAATTGAACGAAGGAATGGTGCCAAACTCCCAAGCATGCAACCAAAGAGTGATGAAACCGGACCACAGAGCAACTCTTGAGTATATAGCCTAAAGAGCAAAGGGATAAAAGCCCAAAGTGACTTGGAACAGTCCTAGAGCAACCAACATCCCAATACTAAGAGCAGCATGCAAAACGGAGCCAAACGAAGCCAAACAGGGTTTGGTGCTATTTCAGCATATCAGTGGCCTAACGCAAGGACATAAGTACTCCACCAACTAGCATGGAATGGAACTTGGGCTTAAACCCAAGCCAGATGCAAAACAAAGATAGACACGCAAGTGGGAGATAGATTATGCCTCAGCTTGGTCAACCATGCCTACCCTACCCACTATCCCTATTATACATTTGGAACCCCCCCCTCTATATTTTCCCCCCCCCCCCCCAATTGAGGAACACACGCTTTAGGCTTTCACCCAAGCCTCCCTTAGTATCAGGAGTTAGTCTCTGGGACAAACTTGAAACTTACTAAATATGGAAGGTCTTTAGATTGCGAATTGGACATGGGATGAACACCATTGTGTTCAAGACAATCTCTATATTCCGTAAATATGCCAAATGAGCAAATCGGAACACTTTCCATAAATAGTATTTGGGACCGAATTGAGATTAACACAAAAGGCATGATAGTGAGGGTGTTTGGCAAACACAGTAAGCTATCATATAGTAAATATTGAGGGACCAATCTCAATATCGCGGGGGTTCTTGATACTAACAAATGCAAGCCAATGACAGGAATTTCTCAAACTAGGCTGAGTATACTTAGCAAAAACCACATAGAGTTCCTACCTTATATTTATCCGATTTAAGTACACGGTCATTAACCAGTTTCTCAATTAACCCAAGTAGGAATTGATAACGGGCTTAGCAATATTAACCTCTTGCCGTCGTGGCAGTAAGGAAAGAATATTCGAAAGGACTAGCCAATAAATAACTTTCAATACACGAAGTCATATTCACCATAAGAGTGTTTAAGTTGTATGGTTCACTAAATTTAATTGTCTTTTATAGCAAAAAACATGCAGAACCAACTTAATAAAGGTATATATAAAGGGAATTTAGCTTCTTAACACCAAGCAGCACAAATTAAGATTATATTGATCTACAATCTTACTTAATTTTAAAATTTTCTTTTATTATTAAAATAAGATGTTTTATTTGTACAATGCCACCTGGTAATAAGCTAGGATATTAAAATCTGACAAACTACACCTAATGAGGTTAAAAATTTAAAAAACTTAATTAAAATAAATGCTAGAAAATAAATTAATATTATAGGTATCCACAATCAATATATATTTCCAGTAGTTTCATTATATAGATAAGTGATAAATATATTTAAGACACATCAAGAAGCTATTTCTGTTTTATAATTATTTATAATAATAAACTTTATTATGTATTTATTGATTTTTAGAATTAAAATTTTGATTTTCATAATTTTATGTTACTTTGTGTTTTATAATATAGGAAATGATAATGATCAACCACTTTATCCAGCTATTATAAGTGCTGAAAGTCCAAATAAATTAAATATTGAAGATTTTTATAATTTAATAAACTATATTTATGATTATATTAAAGAGTATTTTATAAATGGTGAAAATTTTCCTTTAGGACCAATAGTAATTCCACCATTTAATTTACAAAATGCAGCTATTAGTATTAAATTAACTATATTGAAACCAATTGCAATTGTAAGAGATCAAGTTCTCCCATCTTTTTCGGTATGTTTATTTGATCCAACTGAAATCGAAAATTATAGAGATGATGTTTTGTTAAAAGTTTTTACATATATTTTAGATAATTTAGAATCTCAAGCAAAATCAAGTCCAAATTCATTTTATGGTTACATACATGTGGCTTTTTTAAATTTCTCATTAAAATATAAATTAAGATCAAGAGGTAAAAGTAACAATAATTTAAGTATCAAAACTTTAAATTCAGAAATTTATAATTTAAAATGGAATTGTGGAGCACTTTATAGATCTTCACTAATAAGTGGATTTCAAAATGAAATTGGATCATATATAGAAGAAAATAATAGTTTAGTATCACCTAATGGTTTTTTTAGATTTACTTTAAAAGATAATTGTAAACTTGAATTCCACAAAATTTCTACCAACAAGATTATGTGGAATAGTATGGAGAATTTTGGAATAAATGCTATTAATTATAATTGTGTTGCAGTTTTACAAGAAAATGGAAATTTTATTATTAAAAGTAATAAAAATATAGTTTGGGCAACAGAATATTGCTTAAAAGAGCCATGTATATTAGATACAGTATTACTTGTAAGAAATGAAGGTAATGTTATAATTTATAATGCAAATAATGGTAAAAAATTATGGTCTATATTTTAAATCCTAAAAAATTAAGGTATATACTTATATAATAATTATATAAGAATTATATTTTGACATATTTGAAAGCACATTAAATACTTAAGTAAAATTAGCTAAAAAATAAAGCAGGACACTTAGGGCTCTTGGTCACAATGTAGGGCGTCCCATGGTACGCGCTCCCAACACTGATGCAACCATTCCAGTGAGGAAATATTTCGAGCTCCAAGAACGGGGTTGTAGGCCGAGCTTAGCAGCCATTATCTTTGCTCTCAAGGCGTGCAAGCTCTCCAGGGATTTGGTAACAGGGAAGAAGATCCACGGCGATGTGATGCACAGCGGAGATGTCTCCAACCTCGTTGTCGCCAACAGCCTCCTCGACATGTACGTGAAATGTGGCTGTATATCAGAAGCTCGCGAGCTCTTTGACAGGATGGAAAAGAAGGACGTAATTTCTTGGACTAGCATCATTCTCGGCCTCGCCAAGCATGGCTATGGCGATCAAGCTTTGGATTTTTACTCGAGGATGGAGGAACACGGTTGCCCACCTGACCGTGTCACGGTTCTTGCTGCGCTCAAGGCTTGCTCTGCCATAGCCGAGAACAAAGTTAGTGGAGATCGAGCAGAGAAGGTCGAGAGTTTGAGAAAAGGAAAGGAAGTTCATGCTCGGGCTGCTCGAATCGGTGTGGAGTTGGACACTTTTGCTGCGAGCAGCCTGGTGGATATGTACGCAAAGTGTGGACGGATGGTGGATGCTGCAAGAATTTTCGAGAGCCTCCAGGAACTTAGTGTTGTCTTGTGGACGGGGGTGATACTCGGCTACGCTCAAAGTGGTGACGGCGATTCGGCACTGGAGTTTTTCTCGCGGATGAAGGCCGAGGGACACGAACCGGATCGTGTCACGCTTCTTGCTGCTCTCAAGTCTTGCGCGAGCGCTGCCGAGAAGGAATCTCTTGCTGGGAGCTACAAGTTCCTGGAGAAAGGGAGGGCTATCTTCTGCGAGTTTCAGAAAGCCAGGAGCTTGGATCTGTCCAAGGACATCGTTCTGGCGACAACTTTGGTGGATATGTTGTCGAAATGCGGCAGCATGGTTGATGCTCGTCGAGTTTTCGAAAATGTCCAGCACCGGGACGTCGTTTTGTGGAACTCTATCATCTTGGGATACGCACAGAGTGGACAAGCCGAGGTGGCCTTGACGCTTTATTCGCGAATGCGCGACGAAGGCTGCTTACCGGACTGCCTGACACTTCTTGGTGCTCTCAAGGCATGCGTTTCCATGGCTTCCAACGAACAAGGCAAGCGAGAGGCACTGCAAAGAGGCAAAGTTATTCACTCGCACGCTGTGAGGTACCGAGACGAGATGGAGATGGTTTTCGAGACGAGCCTAGTGGACTTTTATGGAAGATGTGGAAGATTAGCGGATTCGGTACTGGTCTTTCAAAGCTCTCGCCAGCATAGAAGGATGGCTTGGACTGCTATCATCTCATCTCATGCACAGAATGGAGACGAAGAATCAGCTCTCGAGCTCTATCAATTCATGCAAGACGAAGGTGGCGAACCGAGCACGGCTGTTTTGGTTGCTATTCTTAAATCTCTGTCCAGTCTCGCGAGCAAAGAAGATGGCAAGCTCGTCGAAGGGAGGTACGCGAAGATCAACACAGTGAAGAGAGGCAGGGAAATCCATGCTACAGCGGCTAAACAAGCGAAGGCTCTGGAATTACCTGTCGCCACAAGCCTGGTCGACCTCTATGCTAAATGTGGATTTACTGCGGAAGCTCGAAAGATTTTCGAAAGCTTGAGAAGTGATCTGCGAGACGACGTTGCTCTGTGGAACTGCATGGTGCTGGGATACACTGAAAGTGGTGAAGCCCAGAAGGCACTCGAGCTTTATTCGCAAATGATCCAAGGCCGAGGCCCTTCACCGGATCGTGTCACTCTCCTCGCAGCGCTCAAAGCCTGTGCTTGCTTTGCCGAGAAGGAGCATTCTCACAGCTTACAGTATCTCAAAGACATCCACGCTCGAGCAGTGAGGTTTTTCGACGTGGAACTTGACACCATGCTGGCAAATACGCTGCTGGATTCTTACGCGAAGAGCCAGAGCACGGTGGATGCTCTTCACGTCTTCGAAAGGATTCGGCAACCCGATGTGGTCTCCTGGAACTGCATCGTTTTGGGATTCCTGGGAAACGGTGAAAGTGAGGCCGCGCTCGAGACTGTGGAACGCATGAGAGAAGAACGAGGCAGCCGCGAGCTCAACTCGGTGACTTATGTCGCAGCTCTCAAGGCGTGCGCTGCTCTGGGAGCGCTGGAAAGAGGTAGACGATTCCATGCCGAGATTTGCAGTGCTGGATTGGAGACGGACACAATGGTGGCAAACTCGCTGGTGGATTTTTACGGGAAGTGTGGAAGCATGGCAGAAGCCGAGGAAGTTTTCCGGAAGATCTCCACGAAGACCATGGTGACATGGAGTGCTCTCATCTCGGGATATAGCTGCCAGGGAGACACTGATCGGGTTTTCGAGCTTTTCGAGAAGATGAAGCTCCAGGAGAAGGATCTACAGCCGGACGGAGTGACTTATCTCTCGGTTCTCACGGCTTGCAGCCACAAAGGTCTCGTGGAGAGAGGAAAGGAAGTCTTCGAAGAGATGTGGAGGAAGCGCGGACTTCCGCGGGGGGCCGAGCACTACGCTTGCATGGTGGATCTCCTGGGACGAGCAAACCGGCTGGACGAAGCAGCCGAGCTCTTGAAAGAAATGCCGGTGGATGCGAGCGCCGAGAGCTGGATGGCACTGTTAAGTGCTTGCTACAAGTGGAGGAACTTGGAAGTGGGGAAGCTTGCCTTTGAGTCAGTGCTGGAGCTGGATCGAGGGAATGCCTCCGCCTACGTGATGATGTCCAACATCTATTCTTCCTCCGAGTTAAACTCGGTTTGAAGATCACGAGACGAGCTCCGGTACGTCTTTCTTCTTCTTCACTTCGTGTTCTAGACAACATTATGATATCTTCTTTGTACAGATGATCCAGGAGAACTTCATCCCGCAGATTTTGCCAGCGCTGGATTCCATCTTCGAGCCATCCCTGAAGCATAAGAAGGTGCCTCACATATAAATCTCTGATACAACTATAACCATGAGTTTTGTACAGGTCGTTTTTGCGATTCGTCACTTCCAAGCTTATAGTTCTAACTAACAACAAGAAAGAAGCTGACAAGAAAATAAAACTTTGGTACGTGATCTATGTCTTCCATATGTGAGCATGACGTCATTTCCTGGTACGCATGGGAAAAGAAAGTTTCCAGGAGCTAGATCACTGGAGCTGTACGGGATGATCTTCCACTCCATTCGTACGAGAGATCGCTCGGAATTTCAGACAGTGACTGCCAGAATATGCCACAACGGCTCATTTCCCAGCTGGTTAAATGGAGATGGAGGAGCGCGAGCCCTAGAAATCCCGAGCGGCGATGGCACGCGACAAGGCGGCCCTGGATTACCACAAGCTCCCTAGGCGGCGCTTGCAGCAGCTGTGCAAGAAGAATGGAATTCCGGCCAACAAGACCAATCTCTTCATGGCGGACGCGCTCGCGGCGCTCTTCAAGGTAAGCCCACCTCATACTTTGGATCCAGATCGATCGAGTTTTGCTTTGATCTGGGCAGGCTCCAGCGAGCCGCGAGAGTGGCAAGGACAAGGATGTGGCTCCTCCAGCCGCTGGGAGAACTGGAAGCGCTGTGGGTGATTCTCAGTCGAGCCAGTGTACCACGGAGGAAAATGCGATCTCACCGGTGAAAAGCCGCGACGATGAGAAGCGTGACGATGGCGAGCATGACAAGCATAGCTTTTGTACTGCGAGTGATGACAAGGGTGAGTTTGACGACGCGCACAGCGTTGCCGAGGAACCGGACAAGGTGAAGACGTCGATGGATGCTCGAGAGAACTTGGATCATGGTGATGGAAGGTAAGTTTTCTCAAGTTTGCAAAGAGCCTGAATGCGTGTGTTTGTGTTTGTGTGACAGATGCGCAAAGCTAGAGAGATCGCCGGAAGCCATTGAGCTAGACGACGAAGATCATCCTGAGAAAGCAGTCGCGGAGGTGGATCGACAAGATGAGAAAGATGTCGAGGTTCCAACGTTTGCTGCCTTGGCAGAGGCTTCTCACGATCAAGCACAGGGTGGCAAAGCGTTAGAAATGGGGGCGCAAGAAACTCCGTCCGCTGCTCGAGTGGAGATTAAGACAACCGAGAAAGGTGGCGAAGTCTCGGAAGTAGTGGAGGCACGACAAACTTTGCCTGCTGTGGTTAAGGCTTCTCACGAGCAACAGGACGAGAAAGTTCCAGCTGTGGAGGTTTCTCGTGATCAGAATCAGATCGCAGTTGTCACCAAAGAGAAGGTCCTCGTCGAAGCAGTGACGGCTGTCGCTAAACAGGAAGTTGTCAGTGAAACGAAGGTCCTTTCCGACGCAGCAGTGGTGGCTGTTGCCAAACAAGAAGTTGTCATTGAAACGAAGGTCCCTCTCGACGAAGCAGTGGGTGTCGCTCGACAAGAAGCGGAAAAGAAGCACCATGTCTACGAATCAGTGCCCAAATTCGCAGCTGAAGAAGCAGCACTGGAGAAAAGTGAAGATGATCGATCTCCAGCAGCTGCTGATATCAAGGAACTCTCACTTCCAACTCCAGACGCAGTAATTACCTCCGAGCTCAGCGAGTCGAAAGGCGTCATCGTGGAAGGCAGAGTTGATCAAACTCTTGAGGTCTCTGAGAACCAAGCCGTAGCTATGATTGTCCAGGAACTCGAAGTTCAAACGGATACTCCCGCTCCAACGCTTGATCTTCCAGAGGAGAGCGCTCTCCAGATGATCGAGGAACTCACGCAAGCCACCGACGAGGAACTTGGATCCGAGCACCTCAAAGCGATGCTGAGAAGAGCAATGGAGCGATCAAAGTCGCGGAACCAGTACAAGAAGGGCCCGGTGTTCCTTCACAAGAGATCAACCATGGAGAAGGTGCTGGAGAGAGCCAGGAAGAAGCGAGCAGAGTGCCTGGAGCAACGGAGATTCGAGGTGGGTCACAAGAGCAGCGGAGACGATCACGATAGCCTGAGTGACGATGATCCAGCTCCGGAAGCTCCAAGAGGAGGAGTGATCTCGAGCAAGGCTGCTCGCATCCAGCAGAAGCACCGAGAGCAGTTCAAGACGCCGATCAAAGGCAAGTCCCACCGCAAATCCGAGGCCGATTTCGTGAAGCTGACGAGCGCGCGGCGCCAGGAGCTACTGCGATCAAAGCGCGGCATGAAGAACATCGTAGATTCTTGAAGTTCGCGAGCTAAGAAGATTTAGTAGACTGGAAAGGAAGAATATATCGTATTTATGTGAATAGATATGGTTTGTATAAAAGGTGACGTTGCATTAGCGGTGAAAATGTAGTTCTCTATAATTTAGGGCTTTGTCGAGCGACGCAGTGGGTTTTGTATCGAGTTCTAGCATCTGCACAGCTATGGCGGCCAGGGATGTGCGCGCATTGTCGCCAAAGCCTTGGAAGCGTAAGCACAGGAAGGCGCTGGCGCCGGCAGCGGACAGCATTGAGATTTTCGAGGGGAAGCCGACGGTTCCAGCCCCGATCTCGCTCGAGATCACTCCGGCGGACGGGAATGGCTACCTCCGGATCGTCTGCCAGGAGGAGGTGGAGTTCTTTGTTCCTAGGAAGATAGTGGAGCAGCTCAAATGCGTCGATGTTATTCTTCGCGGAGAAGGTTCGTCACTTTTCTCTTTGGATTTTCGTTCTCATTGGTGGTTTTGTGTCTTTCTTTCCAGTGCAGTTTAGAGAAAGATTGGAGAATGTGATCCGATTCCCAGATTTTCGCTACGAGGTAGTTCTTTTTTTTCTCTCTCTCTCATAGCGAGATTTTTCTGATCAACTTCAAGGTGTTGGAAGCTGTAATGCGGTTCGTTTTTATAGAGCACATTGACAGTCTTAAGGCAGAGAAATATTGGGGACAAAACGCCCCGCGAGTAACGTTTCAGTTCGAGGTAAAGTAAGCTCAGTTCTTCGCTTTTATCATTCATTTCTTTTTTAAAAGGTAGAACCAAGCCAAGTGATGGAAATTGTTCATGCTGCTCATTTTTTTGGCATAAAAAATCTTTTAAAGGTTGCTGCGGCGATGATTGCTCACAATCTAAAAGGTCTGTGCTAGGAGGATTTTCCTGTTTGATCAATTCGTGGCACTTGGACAGATGTACCGGATGTCTCGTCAATGCCACCAGACTTAGCATGGTGTGTTGCGGAGCAGTTTTCCGCGCAAGACTTATTTTACGCTGAAGAAAGGGATGATTTTTTATCTCTGGGTCTTGGTATGCCTACAAAGTAAACGCTTCTTGCTTGCTAATTAATTCGGCATTTAACAGATACGAGAAGTCTTTGGGAGGAAAACTGCAAGAAAATGATGCATGACGATGCAACAATGTCAATTTGTTCGTTGGAGCACTATCCAGCGTACGACGAATGGATCACCTCAGACAGGCCACCTCCAACTTCATGGAAATCACTATATATGTCAATTTATCTCCAACAGTTAGCTGATCGACAGGACGGAGGTACGCATGAAATTTTTTCTTTGTGGCTTTTCTTGAAAAGAAGTTCTAGGCACAAACGATAGCTTCATTGCTGAAGTATCGCACAAGGGAAAGTGGGTGTACACGCATACAGTAAGTTTGGGTTTATCAAAGTGCAATACTGTTTTGCTCGTTGTCAGATACGGTCCGCATTCTGGGAGTGGATAATGACAGGAGAGGGCAGCTTGTCGTTCGACGTATATATGGCTCAATTTCCAGCTCTATTCTCCCTTTGTGAGCATAGCGTTACGTTCCGAGCGGGTATTTACAGTAACTGTTGCAGGCCTTGCAAAGGTTCAGCTAGGAGATAATGGTCTTTATGTTGGCAAAATATTAGCAGAAATGCAACTTCTCCAACTGCTAGATATCAGGTAGCTTGTCACCTTTATAGCCTTTTGCTAAAAGTTTCTCAATGCATAGTGAGACAGGCTTTACAAAGGAAGCGGCAGTGAATTTGAGCCTTTCTCTTCGGAAACATAGCAGGTAGCTATTCTCTATGTGAAACAGCTCGTTTTCTTATTTTTTCACGTTGTAAGGCTCCAGGTACTTCGCCTCGCTTACAACTGCATCCTGACAGAAGGATTCACAGCTATCGCTCGGGCCCTTGAGTTTGCAAGGTACGCAGTATACTGTGATTTTTCTTTTGGAAAAAAACTTGCATTTTACTGTAGATCTCTGAAAGTATTGGATGTACGGGAAAATGGTATTGGAAAATTCATACCTGAGGAAGCACTTGCAGCTTTAAAGTACAGTCGACTGAAGGAGCTTCTTTTTAACGGTATTGATTTTCGAACATTGGTCGAAGTTGCTTTTTCGTACATCTACAGGAAACTGTAACACGGATGCTATTCAAGAAGAACGCTTGTTAAGTAGATCTTCCTTCTATGTCTTGGTTCTTATCTACGTTTATACAGAGTAGCGAAACCAATACTTGATGCTGTACCGACACAGTTGAAGACTCTGCGGTTGCAGCAGTGCTGTCTCTTAGACGAACATGCATTTTTTTTGGCAGAGGGACTGAGAAAACATGCTCATATTCAGGTAAAAGTTTGAACAACATCGCTCTAAGCTCTTTTGTGATAACTGCAGACACTTGATTTAAGCGACAACAAGATCACTGCGGCAGGTGCTTGTGCAATTCTTTTGTGGCTTCAGGTTTGTGGCGTGTCTGATGCTCTGCAAAAGAAATGCATACCGATTTTCAGGAAAACACGTCTTTGCTGGAATTGTCTTTTGCTAACAACAACGTCCAGGACTCGTGTTCCAGAGTGCTCTGCGCGGTTATGCAAAACCACTCTTCTTTACAACGGGTATATGTGTTTGATATCGCGCAACATCTTGACGTCACGCTGTCGTGTTTCAGTTCTCGTTGATGGGCAACTACTCATACGGTGAAGAAAATCTTCCAGAGGTCCTACGCAAACGCTTTACAATTCTGTCTCTTACGCCCGACTGCAGGTCCTTCACGCTGCTTCGTGTCGAGGGAACGCCCTGCTTGCATCAGAGCACAAGAGATTTACGTTGGATCTACGCAGCACCGACGTGTCGTATGCGAACAGAGCAAGGATTCTCCGCCAGGCCGTCCAGTTCACATCACTAGATCTTTTAATTTGACAACGAAAACGATGGCCACATTTATTCTGGTTAGTGGTGCGCTTCCACTTGATTTGTGAGTAACACCACATCAGCCAGGTGCGGACCTCCGATAGTGGCGGTCCAAGCTCTACTCAGTGCGTTTGCTGCCAGCCTACCACAACACACTCGAGAGAAAACGACTGGTATTGTGATGTTGTTGCTGTTGCTGTTACTTCCTTGGAACTTAAGCATGCATCTCTGGTCTTGTCGCCTTTCTTTTTGTTTCTATTGCCTGACTGGCGCTTGACTGCTTAGTCTGTGAGTGCATGCATGCAAATCACGGCTCAAGCACACGCTTAGCGCAGCATAGCACACGTAAGGCACGGTGTTTTTGTTGTTGGTGCATGGGCCCGGGTCCGGAGATGGTTTTTTCGATTCGGCTGGCTAACGTTGACGGACGCAATGTTTGCTCATTCTTTTCAATCATATCGATGGTACCGATGGTGGTGGTGGTCCTTATATGGTACACACTAAAATCGCCAATCAAAACCATGGAAAGCAGCGCACGGTTATGATCTCTGGTTTTGTTTATATACTTGGATCCGTGTGCAATGTTTTCTACAGTGGCATGATGCTCGTCGCTAGGCAACACACTCGCGCCGTGAGTTCTCAGATTACTGCTCGCTCTCCTCCCTCACTCGTTTGCTTTTCCCCTTCCTTGTTTTGCAGTGTACTTTTTGAAGGGATTCATCCGTTCCTCCCAATTCATCGGTGGCATGGCTGCTCTCTCGAGGGTCGTGTGGCGGCTGCTGATGCTGCTGCTGTTCGGAGGATGGATTTTGATGTGGGTGATGCGACCAACCTCCGCCTACTCCAAGTTCTGGCAGTCGTTCACGAAGGATACCACAACGAAAGCTTATGGAGTCGCAGGTAAACATGTTGAGTGCTTCTTGTGTGTGATCGATCGCATTGTGGCTCGTCTTGGGGTTCTAGCCGAGGAAACTCTCATGCTTGCAATTATTGAGTATAGAAGTCCTGGTGCTCTTTCATTCTCTTTGCATTGCTGCTGGTAGAACAAGAACGAATATATCTTGCTTGTGAGGTCACAAGAGTCGGCTGACACAGGTCCTGGCAGGGTCCTTCACACTTTTTTATTCGGCTCCCGTCGTCATCTTGGCTGTGGTTGGTGCGATTTATCTTCAGCTTTCCAAAGACGACAGCACTAGGAGGTAGATCCTCTTTTTGAATTCACGCTTAAACTAAAGTTTTAATCCAGGAGGGATGGAGTGCGAGTAAATCCATTTTCTTTCCCTGCTGTAGTTCGAGGACCACTTGCAGTTGCCTCTGCGGCGGAGCTTACATGCCTCGTTCTCTTCGTGGCTCTTCTCGTGTGGACACTATCGGAGTACTTGAGCACAAAGTTTGCTAAAATCACTCCTGCTTATCTGCACAAGCACCAGTTAAAACTGTGAGGAGTTATTCTGTTTTGAGTGCTTCATACATAACGTGTTTCCTTTTCAGATGGGAAAGAAAATTGGAGATGGTTGGAACGAATTTGGGACTCGTCGGCATTGTCTGCCTTGCATTCTTGTTCTTTCCAGTTGCTCGAGGCTCGGTGTTTCTTCGTTTGTTGAATGTACCCTTTGAGCACGCGATTAAGTATCACATATGGATTGGACACATTATGATGGTGATTTGGACAGTTCACGGACTGGTTTTTGTGATCTTCTGGGCTGTCACTGGCAAGATGACAGAGGTAAGCAGTTTGTTTTAATCTTCGTTCTTACATTCTCGTCAAACTCTCAGCTTGTTCAGTGGAAGAAAACAGAAATAAGCGGCCTTTCTGGATTGTTTGTCTACATTATCGGCGTGATTATGTGGATGACATCTCTTGGCCCAGTTCGAAAGAAGAAATTTGAGCTTTTCTACTACACACATCAGCTCTATATTGTATTCATTTTGACCTTTGCATTACACGTTGGAGACAGGTTATTCTGTGCGGTTGTGGGTGGCATCTTGCTGTTTCTGCTGAATCGGTTTCTGAGGTTCATACAGTCACGCAGAATCGTAGACGTCTTATCAGCTCGAATGATGTCTTCGGAAACGATGGAACTCACTATTGCAAAGCATCCGAGTAAGTAGCTTTCTGCTTGTTTGTTCTCTCTGGACCATCTTTTACGAACGCATTTTTATATCAGGTCTCGCATATAATCCGGCAAGTTTCATTATGGTGAACTTCCCTGTCGTGTCTCCACTGCAATGGCATCCCTTTACCATCGTATCTTCGTCCAAAGTAGACACGGAGCATCTTTCGCTTTTGATAAAGTGTTACGGAGGCTGGACGCTGACACTCAAGGAGTACTTAAAGAACGCCGACACATCGCATATAGTAGAGGCTGCTGTTGAAGGGCCATACGGCCACGACATGAGCTACGTCGCTCGGTAAGGCTTTCAGTTGGGAAGCATAAATCTGACTCAACTTTTTTCAGCTACGACGTTCTGATTTTTGTCGCCGGGGGCAGTGGAATTTCACCATTTATTTCCATTATAAAGGAGCTCCTCTATGATATTGAAAACCAGAAAGTTTTGGCACCTGAGGAGATCATTCTTCTCTGGGCCGTGAAAAAGTCCGACGACCTCTCTGTCCTACAGCTCATAACACCGGACTTTGCTAGCCGGTTCAAGATCGACGTCCAAGTTTATGTCACCCGAGAGGATGGCCCCGAGTTGGAGAAGCCTCAGACGACAGCAAGCACCATCATTTTCAGCACCCGAAAGTCTCAACCGAGGAGCATATCTGGGTCCGAGGGGATCCAAAATGGGATTCTCCACGCAGCGCTGGTGTTGGCATCTTCGGCAGGCTTCCTGTTCGTCATTGGCATCCTCGAGAGATTCGTCGTGTATCCGGTCGACCACAACACCTCGGACTTGTTTTCTCGCTCGCTGGGTGGTCTTTTTGGATACATAGCAACCGTGATTGGCGTCGTTGTCTTTGGTGGAGGAACTCTGGCCCTTTGGAATCGGCTGGCAAGAAGGGACAAAGGCGTGAACAAGAAGCCCGAGAGGATGCTTTCAACAATATCTAGCCAACCGACTCATCCTTCGCAGGTCCACTATGGGAGTCGTCCACATCTTCCAGGTTAGAGTCTAAAGTTACTCGTTCCTAGTACTTACTCTGGCTGATCAGATGTGTTCCATGCGTATGCGAAGCGACTGCAGGGATCCAAAGTTGGAGTTTTTGCGTGTGGACCTGTAGAGATGCAACGCACGGTGGCTACGCAGTGCCAGGCACCGAGATTTAGTTATCATCCATTAAACTACGACCTGTAATACAGGTACCATATTTTTTACACTTGGGAATCTTTGAGACCCGTTTTGCAGTGTCTCAAAGTTACAGAAAACGGTCTATAGAGCCTTGCCTTTATCCAGGCTGATAGTGGAAGCGTTAAGTATGATAATTCTATTCCTTTTTCTAGTTTTTTTTGTTTTAAACGACTTGTATTGTTCTAGCGAAAGAGAAGTTTAAGTTTAAGTTTGCTCACACGGGCTCGCGCGTGGTGCCACGCTAGAAACATGCGCGCTCGTAAGTTAGTTGTTCTCGCTCAATCCGTTCGCGACTTACGAGGCTCATTTGGATTAAACCAAAAGTCAGCACTGGAATCCAGGCGGCCCGGGAGGCAGTTTTCCCACCCAGTTGTTAGCGGGATATGCAGAACATGTAATGCAAGCTGTGGTAAAGTTGAGTTTTATATTACGAAGTCAAAACGCTGCGCGACAAGAACAACACAGTAGGCAACGTCCTCGCTTGTATATAATCCCGCTTCTATCAAGTAGCTTTAAGGCTCGCTCGCTAGTTTGGAATTACATCTAGCAGCCATGGAGAGCGCGAGGCACGGTGGAACAAAAGCAGTGCTCAAGTTCTCTGCGATAGTCGTCCTGGTTTTGTGGACGTTCTTGTGGTTTATGAGACCATTGGACGCGTATCAGAAGTTTTGGACCCCCGCGCAGGCTCAAACACGGACCAAAGCATACTACAATGGTAAGCAGCTTCTAAAGTTTCTATGGATACCATTAACGACCCTTGCAGGACCGCAGATCGTGGTATATTGCGCTCCGATCATTTTCGCGGGGATCGCAACGGCTCTGGCTTATCACCACAAGAGAAAGCAGGCCTTCAAGATCAAGTGAGTTGTATCCGCGAGATATTCTCCCTCCAAATTCTTAGGAACTTTTGCCTGTTCTGAGCAGGAACAGCAGCTTACGAGCCTTCAGGAGCAATCCAGAAACATACCCACTATTCATCAGGGGACCACTTTCGATTGTTTCAGCGGCGGACTTCCTTTTCTTATGCGCTTTGGTGCTCTTTACCGTCTACACCTTCACGGCTTACTACATACGATCGGTGAACTCAATAAATCGAGCCAAGCTTCGTGAGCCCTTGTAAGTAACCATGAGCACGGTTCTTTGTTCTCCTCGCGAGCAATGTTTGCTTACCTCAGGTGGCACAAGAAGCTAGAGATAGCAGCAGTGGAAGCGGGTCTAGCTGGTCTCTTTTGCATGGCAATCCTGTTCTTCCCAGTGACTAGAGGCTCTACACTTCTCCGACTTCTCAACATTCCTTTTGAGCACGCAGTCAAATACCACATTTGGATTGGAATCACCATGCTGGTGGCTTGGACTGTTCATGGGCTGTTGTACATAATCTACTGGATAATCGAGAAAAAGATCCACGAGGTATGTGTTCCGGAAAAAAGAGCTTTTTTTTTTAACTAGTGTTCTTCGCAGCTCTGGGCCTGGCACAGCGACGAGATAAGTGGCTTGTCTGGACTCATTGCGTTGATAATTGGACTAGTAATGTGGGCGACTTCTATCGGCTGGGTTCGCAAGGCAAACTTTGAGCTTTTCTATTACACCCATCATCTATACATACTGTTCATCCTCTTTTTTGGCTTGCACCTTGGAGATCGATTCTACGCTATGGTTCTGGGTGGCGTCATGTTATTCGCCGTAAATCGACTCTTGAGATTTGTGCAATCTCGACAAAAGGTTGATGTCATGGGAGTAAGAGTGCTGAGCTCCGAGACCATTGAGCTCGTGTTTGCAAAGGAACCAGGTAAGTTCATAGTTTTAAACATTTCGTCATGTGAATTCCAACTAGAAATTCTTTCATGAATTTGAGCAGAGCTACATTACAGCGCAGCTAGCTTCGTTTTTCTCAACTTGCCAGCCATCTCGAAACTGGACTGGCATCCTTTCACGGTTATTTCCAGCTCCAATGTCGAGACCGACCGTCTTACACTCCTGATAAAAAAGAATGGAGACTGGACCTCAAAGATCATTAGCATGATCCAAGATAATGGAGGATCGCTGCAGCTTGAGGCTGGAATAGAAGGTCCTTATGGCCACAACTTGGACTACATATCAAGGTAATGGTTCTCATGGTTTTAGTACTTTGACAAAAAAGCTGGCCTTGATCCTTCCAGATACCAGGTGCTAGTTTTCATTGCTGGAGGAAGTGGCATCTCTCCATTCTTGTCCATGCTCAAAGATATCCTCTACAGCATCCAAGCAAAGTCTCTCACGCCACCCAAAGATATCATCCTCGTCTACACAGTCAAGACGTCGGACGAGCTCCATATCCTCAACTCGATCACTCCAGCTCTGATCTGCCCAGAGTTTGCGCACGCTCTCAACATCAAAGTCCAAGCGTATGTCACCCGCGAGCAAGCAGCAGACTTGGAGCAAAACAACGCCGGCCCGAAAGAGATCCAGCTGCTCAAAGCTCCGAGCATAAGAAAAGGCGGCCCAGTGCTGATCCACGCCGAGCCATCTCCAAAGTCCGTGACAAGGTATGCTGCTCAGCAGCTGCGAGCAATTTCTCCACCTTTGGCTGGGAGGGGCGTCGTCGAAGCGGCCGTCATCTTCGCGTCCTTCTTCGGGTTTATGTTCCTGGCCGGGATCATTGGCCGCTTCTGGATTTACAGGCACTATACTTCCAAGGACAAGGACTTTGATCGATCTCTTGGAGCATTCCTGGCTTTTCTCGAGTCACTCTTTGGTGTTATAATTGCTGGAGCAGCCATTGCGTACGTTGCAAACTCCGTCAGGAGGAAGAAGCAATGGACGCCATCGCCCACAACAATGACCAATGTGGGATCTCCGGAAGAAAGCCTCAAGCCTGTCAGCGTTCACTATGGACATCGTCCAGATTTTGCGAGTAAGTTTTCGTCATGCTTTTATCTAATCTATTTTCTTTGTTACCAGGTGTATTTGCTGGTCTTGCCAAGAGCACCATTAACATGAATGTGGGAGTGTTTGCTTGCGGCCCCATGAGCATGCAGGAAGGCGTTGCAGCGTTATGCCAGGAGTATAGAAAAACTGCTGAGAACGCGACCTACAATTATCATTCGCTGAATTTCGACTTGTAGGCTTGAAAATGCGATAGGTCAACAGGAATCTCACCGGACTAGAAACCTCTCCATTCCAATAGCAAGAGATGCATTCAGAGAAAAGTTATGCCAGGATACAAAGTCAAACCATAACTACCAATGTAAATAAGAACTGAAAATAAGAAAGCATAGCACTTAATTCTGTAAGCTTCCTGTTTGTGGTAGTGGCAAGTAATAGCTCATGCAACTCTAGCAACTGCAGAGATTTTTAATGTGCATCTAGCACAAAAACATCCAGAAAAATCCTAGATTTTGGTATTTAAAGTTTGCTTCAGTGTGTGAACAAGCGTTTCCAAAGGAATCCTGCAACATATCCACTTTGCATCAACTACTTCAGAGTTTATTATTTTGATGGCATTGCTTAAACACAGTGAAAAAAGTTTACAGAGCTAATCTTTATGTAAGTATAACAAAATCCTAAGACCCTTGATTGAATTCAATCATATTTCCCATGTCACACAGGAAGATGAAGATAGCAGGACTGCCGGGACAAGCGGGACTGTTTTGCACGGTGATTCTATTCTTCCCAATAACTAGAGGATCTCCACTGCTCAAAATCCTCGAGTTCGTGCTTCCATGATGCTAGATGGAGTGATGTACGCAGATTACTGGTAAGAAAACATAAACTCGCTCTCATGGCACAATCTGATTGATTAGATAAATGCGTTTAGCTGCGTTGACCATCCAAACCAGTAGAAAGTTGGCAAAGGTCGCCTTGGTTGAATATACACCCTGAGTCTCTAAATAAATTCATTCATTTATATATTATTTACATGGTCTAAGAAGCATGAGAATGGTGGATTCAAATACAAGAAATACAGGGAACTAGGAAGATTGAAGTGGAAACAAGCAGATAGAGAGAAGTAAAGTAAAATAAAATTGTATGCTCCCCAGCTGGATACAAGTGGAATGTTATTCAGAGAATTTATGTACCATCAGATTCCATTCCAACTATCTATTGTATTACATCTTTTTGCTTCTAGTTGAGTAACCTAAAATAATTTGGCATGTAGCAACACTTAGTTTGCTTGATAGTCAAATGTCATATTTATTTAGTATTTTTGAAATAAACATATTTGTAATTTATAAATCAAGATTAACTTCCCATGAATAAACTGGGAAGTGTTTAGGAAAGTTTTTAAATTATAAACATGTTTATAAATTATAAATACATGATTAATATAAATGAATAAGAACCATTAATGGTAAAATATTCTAGAATATTTAAGCATATTTTAAGTATATTTAGTCTCTTGATTTTGCTTAAGCAAACCAAAAAATATAGAATATAAAGTTTCAACACTTGGGATTATAAAGTAGAGAACTGTTGACCAGGCATTGCAAGACAACGTGAATACTACTTTTTGAATGGGCATGCTAACACCCATTAATGCATGGGCATGACGCCCTCGATCAATAAACTTGCGGTCTTCTAGTTCACAGCACACACACAGAAGGATAGAGGGATTAGATGGACGCCAAGGGCGGCGAGGATCGTCAAGCGCAGCAAAAGGAGAACACCTTGAATCGAGTGCGAAGCGAGGTGGCCAAGCAGGCATGGATAATCTTCCCCCTGGCGGGATTCAACGTCGTGCTCATCGCCGTCCAGCTCGTCTCCATCATGTTCGTCGGTCACCTCGGAACTCTGGAGCTCTCCAGCGCCGCCATCGCCACTTCTCTCTGCAACGTCTCGGGTTTCAGCCTCGTGGTAAGCTCAGATCTGAAAAAAGAAAAGGAAAAAAAAAAAGACAGAAAACTTACACATGTTCGTTGACAAAATTCTCTCCCTGATGTGAAAAGATCGGCCTCGCCTTTGCTCTCGACACTCTGTGCGGCCAAGCCCATGGAGCCAAGCAGTATCACAAGGTCGGCGTCTTCATCCAGCAAGCGGTGCTCGTTCTCGCTCTCATCTGTATCCCAGTGTCGCTGCTCTGGATCAACTTGGAGCCTTTGCTTCTCTGGTGCCGCCAGGATCCGGAGATTTCCGCCGGAGCTCAGAGGTATGCCAGACGTCTTGTTCCAGGCCTGTTTGCCTACACCGTCTTTGAGCCCATGGTGAAGTTCTTCCAGACGCAGAGCAGGGTTCTTCCTCTCTTTTGGTCGTCCATCTTGGCGCTACTCTGTCATATCCTCCTGTGTTGGATCTTCACATATAAACTCGGCATGGGAAACGCCGGGGCCGCGGTGTCTCTCAGTATCACGTACTGGCTGCTTGTCTTCTTTCTTGTCACTGCCGCTGCGGCTTCTCCAACGTTTGCCAATTACTGGCATGGTTTCACCACGGAGGCCTTCCATGGCATCTCCCAGTTCTTGAAGCTCGCAATTCCATCGGCTCTCATGGTCTGGTGAGTGTCTCGCTCTTTTGATAACTCCATTCTTTCTTGGCCTCAATGTGGAATGTTGGCCGCAGCTTGGAGTGGTGGGCTTTCGAAGTTCTCATTCTATTCTCCGGCGTTCTTCCGAATCCGGCGCTCCAGACGTCAGTGCTCTCTATTGTGTAAGTGTCTCCGCAGATGTTTTGCTCTCGCTTCACGAGTTTCACGTCACAGGATGGGAATTATCAACCTCTGGATGATCCCCTCGTATGGGATAAGCGCTGCTACGAGGCAAGTTTAAGTCTGAGTGTTTTACGTCTTTTCCTCTAAACTTTTGTTGGCATGTAGCGTGAGAACTTCCAACGAGCTCGGAGCTGGGAACCCACTCGTAGCACGTTTTGCTTTCAGAGTAGCAGTGCTCATTTGTTTAGTCTACGCAACCTTGGCAATGCTGGTTTTGCTGCTCTCCAGGAACGTCGTGGGACACGCCTTTAGCAGCGACAGCCAAGTTGTGTCCTACGTTGGAAGGATGATACCGTTTGCGAGCGGTTTCGTCATCCTTTCAGCCCTCCACAGCGTTGGTTATGGTTCGTATCATATGTCCAGTGGGATAACGGCGAAACTCAGTTCCTTTCCTGTTGTTGCAGGAGTCGCTTCCGGATGTGGATGGCAATCCATAGCAGCACTTGGAAACATTGGAGCGTATTACGTTGTCGGGTTGCCTTTATCATATGTGCTGGGATTTGTCTTTCATCTTCGAGTAGAGGTTCGATGAGTTGTTCACGCTTGGAGCTTTTTCATCTTGTGTGCACAGGGACTGCTCTCCGGATCGTTGCTTGGATTTCTCGTACAAGCTCTCGTGTTTTTCGTCGCTGCCTTCAGCACAAACTGGGAAAAAAGAGTGAGTCAAGAAAAAGTTGTCCTAAACTGATTACCTGCTGTTGCAGGCGCTCCAAGCAAGAGATCGACTGGGTTTATCGGCACCACTCCTGGAAGATCAAATATAGAAATATACACAAGTTTTATCAATTTAAAATGATTTTTCAAGGACTTCGTCGTGCCGCGAGCAAAACGGGAGCGACTTTATAGTCCATACCACGAGAAGCACGTTGGCGAAGCTTTAATGCATCACATCGATGGGCATGTATGCACTCACATCCCATAGACGCAATGCATACATACATCCAATAAGCCGTTTCAGCTCTGGAGTTGAGACCACGAAAAGTTAGTATGCTTACCGCAACATGAGCTAAAGTTCCCCGTTCAATGCTTTTAAAACCTGAAAAGATTTGTACGGGTACTATAGTGCATTAAGACGTAACAACACGCTACCTGGTTTTGGGAAGCACAAAGCTTCTGCTTGTGCTGCGTGCCGTTTCTCAATCAAACGTATAGACAGGTTTTTGCCACCTGAGGACTTTCTTCTCGTCGTCTGTCAGGCTAAGGTCCCCGGGGTTCTCTTTAAATGTCTGTATGACCGTTTTTGCGCCGGAGAGAACCAGCCGATCCACAATAAAAAGCTGGTAATTGTTATGAATAACAGGGCCCAGGATGTCACTGAAATTAGATGAAGATGCAATCTTATATCTGAAAAAGAAAAGAGGGGGCAATGAAATAAAAGATCACGACCACAGTTCAGCAAAAATCCAATCGAAGTACCTGGATCCCAATGGATCAAAGAAGCCCGGTTTTCTCTCGTTGGACGCAACGTAGAGTGTCCGTCCCCGTGGTACCCAGGCGGATATCCGCCGGAGAATTGCTTCTGGCTGTGTATCTCTGTCCAGGTGTGGGAATTTGGTCTTTTTCTCCCCCTGCCCGTCTTTTCTAACCTTCAGCACGTCTCCTCTCCGGACATGCATCGCATCATAGTCCCCAAGACGTTGCTGTATCTGGATGCGCCACAACCAAGCAAACTTAGTCCATCTATCTACAGTTTTCCGAGAGAGAAATATAAAACAAAACGTAAAGACCTTTTCGGCAGCCTCACGAAGTTGCTTTGCGGCCATTGTTGGAAGATATGCGTATGGGAGCATCACGGCGGAGCGGTTTTTCCTATCCTTGCATTCCACAAACCTGGAAAACCAAACTTGTAAGAAGAGTTAAGAACAGGAGAAAGCTTACCATGCAAGCGAGTTGGCTGTCCGATTAATGATCAATGCATGCGAGTGTAGTGGACTTTGAGAGATCTCTTGACGAGTTAATCCATGAACGTTCACCAGAGCATGCTCGACGCTACGCGCTGCTCGTAGTGAAGAGATCCATTCTCTGGAGCTGTCCGTGATGACACGAATTCCAGTAGAGGACATGAGATCCAAATCGTACAAAGCCTCCACAGCACACTCTCTCGAGTCCCAACTGGATCAAGCAGACGTCCAGCTTATAGAAATTCCAAGAAACTGAAAACGTAGCCTCACCTGGAGGACGTCCCAGGAAGCATTCGATCGTTGTGCTTTCCAACAATGCAGATCGTCGAAGGAAGCACAAATGTCCTGGCGAGATAATCCACACAAAGGACTAAGAAATCTAGAAAATCTAGAAGGGGAGAGGATTCTTACCTGTTTAGATGAATCGCCTCCTCCAGAGCGCAGCGTAGGCTGGATTCTTGGTGTCCCAGACCTCCACAGGCCTCACACATCTTGCCAGGGCAATCAATTCTGGATCCCCAGTACAGATACCTCGTGTGGCCGCTCCCGGCCTCCTCATTTTCCTTGCTCATCCACATTGCCCACACGACGAGAAGCGCCATCGCCGCAGCTGCGCACAGCAAATGCCTGCGCAGGACAAATGCCCTGGGCGCCTTCGAGCGCGCCATACCTCCCAGCTCGGAGGGTTAGGGCTCTGTAGCACAATTAGTTAATTTTAATGATTATCTCATAAATATGTTTCAACATTGGACATATAGCAGCTCCACACAACTCTTGCCCTCTCCACTCCATCGAAATTGTTCTGATGAAATTCAAGAGTCTCCAACTTTCAAAGTAGCTGGAGCAGTTCCTCACAAGGCATTCTCTCTCTGTGAAGAAACAAACCAGAGCTTGTGATGCTGCCATCTCCACAAGTTTGAGGACACCGGCTTGAAAGTTGAAGTGAACACTGGCACAAAAGCCATCTCTTCCCAGGATGTTGGGCTTGACCCCGAGCGACAAGATTGTCATGCTAAGCAGCTTCTGCAATGGTGAGTGCCGTGATGAGATAGTGGTTCCTAGGCCAGAGAATGGATTTGTAGTGCCAAAGGAGGAAAGTTGCGTGACATTTACAAGTGAAATTAGCCATCAACACTCCTAGAGGGAGTTGGAACTCATTGCCTCCCTGTGGAGGACGGCTTGAACTTTAAAGTCCCACCATAAAATTCAATGTGGGAATAAGAGACACAAAAAAAGCGCAAAGAACCAAACATACTATAGAAAAGCAATGGTTGTGGGCCTATTTTCTTGGTTTGAGCCAGACCAGATCATCCAGTCATGGAAACAAGTTAAAGAGAAGAAAGACCATGCCTGATCTTATAGCTATATTAATATTTTTTATGTGCTGAGATTATGAAGGTAGCAAATGCGGCTTGAAGCAATGGCTATTCCATATACATACCAAATAGGAATATATTGATGTTATTTATCCCATTAACTAACAGTAATAAATAGCCATTAATGGACCAATTAACCATCATGGATCAGGGATCAGTTAATGCAATTAAATTAAAACTCGATCTCATTTTTCTAAATTTATTTTATAATTTTTTTATCCACATACTATCACTCGCACCCGGGAAGCGTCCGATCGATGCAGCTGTTGAACGATTCCACTGCCATCTCTTCACATCCAGCTGCGATCCCTTACACAGCACCAAGCATCGATCGTGGCATGGTACCTCTAGGAAATATAGGATTCCAGATCGATACGGAGCATGAGTCAAACAACCTTGAAGAATCCCTGGAAACTCGGGTGCCAGGGGCTTTTGCATAATCCAGTCACCCCCTTGTTTTCCCAATTGTATGATCGCCGTGGAATGCCATAGAATCCAGGAGTGACCGCGGACTGGATTCTTGCAGATGAGCGAGGTGGCAGATGATGCTCGACCTGGCCGTGCAGCAAACATCAAGAAATAGCCACCAACTCATGTTTTAAAGGTTTAGTATAAAAAGATGTCAAACTTTGGCCCACAACGCCTTTAGAATGTGATGTTCAAGTTTGCCAGATCCCATAGTTGAGATGCCTGAACAAGTTAGCAGCCGTAAGTACTGTACACCTCATTTGTGAAGGCTATAGTTACAAATCTTTTTTCTTGTTATTGCTAACAATGAAGTGCCTTGATGAAGTCTCAAACTCCACGGATTTGAAAGAATAAAAATGTATGGTAGAAGCCAAGGTGGTCTAGGTACTAATCAAGAAGGTGCTTAGATCAAATAAGCTTACTGTAAAAATCGCGAGAGCACCTCCAGCCACAAAGCCAAGATAAGTTCTAGAACAATAACTTAAACGAATGGTCTTGGATATTGTCATATTGATTGGAAGAAGAAAAAATAGCTTTCTGCAGAGTTTTAAGTAATTTGAATTTGAGTGGACACCAACACCTTAGTTTGGCAAAACAACAATCATGAATGGTAGCGATTCCGTGCTGCCGCCAAGAAAGTGGGAAACCCTGCTGTGTTGTATGGGGGGTGCTCCAGCAGCAGCACCATCCTATCAATATTTCGACAGAAATCTTGCGATTTTGTTAGATAGTACAGAGATGATATAGTAGTGGTTATGCCCACATGGCAGTAGTTCCATCCTCGTTTGTGTGCACGTCTCTCCACTTTCATGGTATCAAAGCCCTCTTGATCCTGCACATGGCATTTACTAGCTAGGAGGCCAGTGCTGAGAAGGAGGATGAACCTCCTGATTGCAATCTCTCTTGCAATGCTTGGGATAGTTGAGGTGTTGAATGTGTTGGGTGCTTGAGGCGTTAGATCAAGGTAGCAAACTGTGCAAAAGCACTGAGTAACAAGCAACAAGAAGCAAAAATTAAAGATTGAGAGATTTCAACAGCCTAGATTTAGAATTATGTCAAAACTCTAAACATTGTATAACAACTCTTTGGTGGACTTTTCAGTTAGGAAGAGAGATTAGGTGCCAGTTAGTAGAGGATGTGGAAGTGTAGCAGTTTAAGGCCAAGACCACATTAAGCAAGAGTGTGTGCAAGCAAGGCTGAGACCAAGAATAGAATAGGTTATGTGGGGCATTAGATATATCCACCTTCAAAGTCATCAACTTCTTCACCCGTTTCTTTTTACCGTATTTGAACAGCAGCAACTATGTCTTGTGGTGTCCATTGCAACACTTTATCACCAATTAATATATGAATCAACAACTGATAAAATAATTGCATGCTAGAGGAAAGTTAAGTCTCTAAAAAATCAAAGGATATAAGTAACACTCAATAAAACCAAATAACATACCTCTTATACGCACTTTAAATATGCCTGTACCAGCCATCCGGAAAATTCCTCACTGAATTAAGAGATTGATACATTGCTTGAAGAGCCATATACCTCCCTTGAAGTATAGCATCAAGTTCTGCAATGCTAGATCAAAGCAACATTACTAATGTGAGATGTACTTATGAACAGCCACCACTAGCTCCAACTACACAGCCATCCTTCATGGCAACAGTTCAACATGTATTTGGGGGGTATAATAATACATCTGGAAGCATAAGACCATTTGGGAAATAGAGGATGCATTTCTTATCTACTTTCTCCTCACTCTCCTTGAACTTGAAACTCCCTTATCTTCATTATACATGGGTAAGTGCCTAAGAATTTCCATGTATCTACGACTTTGCTTCCTATGCAATGCTGGCTTGGCTTTCCACATGCTATGTCTGCAATTCGATCTCATTGGCCTCTTGGAGAACCAGGTAGTTTTCTTTCCCTAAGGAAAGAAAACAGAATGCGTCCATGCTTCTAATCCTATTGTCGAAGACCATCCCCACAAAGTCATACCCCGGAACAGATCATCCATATCATGCCTGTTATCATGAAAGCACACTAGCCGTGTGTTGAGCTCATACCACTATATATTTGAGCTTATAATTTCTAGCCTATCTGATGGTAATATGAATTTAAACTTAAAATATTTTAAATTCATTAGAGGTGTTTAATAAAATTTTAACTGAAATTTAACGATGAATAGTATTCTTACTACTATAAATCTAGAAAATTCCTAGAATAAAAATCTTCACTTTGTAATGGCAAAGTCTAGTTACATGACTTCAATTTTAAGGAAATCAATGAAAATGAAAATATTTCTTAGAACTCATCTACGTTTTCAGACGATTCCCCTTGGCATTCTCCTTTCACTGATTGCCATCACTCTAGAGCAAGATTAGAGAGCTCAAGATTGAAAAAGCCTGGAGCAAAGCTAAGTTGGCCTCCAAATTGCTCTTGGGAAAATGGAATGCGTTGGAGGTTTGGATGGTTTTCAACGTAGTCTAGGAATGTTGCTAACATCTGGTTTGCAAAAAATAGGCAAAATCATGTGAAAGATATAGAGTTCACTGTTTTGGAAGTAATCAAACTAGCCGGGAGCCATGCAGGCCACAAACTAGGGGACTAGATCCCTTCCCCTCGAGCTTTTGATTCAATCCAAATTTGTTAAGACACGTAAGAACCATCCAAAATTGGAATCTAAACCGTTAAAAAAGCATAAAAACCAGAGCCCTAACAGCCAACCTATTTTGTACAGGTTTTTAATTTCTAGATTTAATTTTTGAGGGAAAGGAAGTTGATCAAGGACGTATAGCAATGCTAGAAAGGTTCAGATTTCAATTATAGGCTTTTATCCACGGAAATGGATCTCCTCCATTGTGCCCAACTAAAAAGCATGACACTCTAATCTACCTTTCTCTCTCATCTCGTATTCATTCTCTCTTTTGCTGCTGGATCCTCTTTATTGACGTGAGTATTCCTCTTGCTGCTAGATCCTCTCTATTTTCCAAAAGTTTTTCAGGCATGCATGCCTGAAAATATGGAATGTGGTGGAGACTTTATTATTTCTCTTTAGAAAATGCTATATTACAAATTCTAGCTGAAAGAAGGCTCTTTCCTCGTGCTGCATTTGATAAGAGCTTGTGATATGCTCTCTAATCAGCAGCCATCCAGCTTGAACAAAGCTTGCGTGGACAATCTCATCCAGCTGGAAATCTCTCGTCTTTTCTTTCGTGCGGCTACGTGTCTCAAAACAAGATAGAAAGGCAAGCTGCTAATTTTATGTCCCATAGAATTCATTGCTGGAAGATATATAAAGAGTTTCGCTTGAAAGCAGAACTAGGATATATATTTGGGCCCATGAGGAACTATGTAGGCGATTTCCCAAAGATTTTCTTCTCGACCAGCAGTGACGATGATACTTTCGTCTTAGCTAGCAGCCAACTAGAGTCAGGGTCCACTTCGCATGAACAAACAATTCAATGGAAAAAAAAATCATTTCTAGCCAACAAAGTGTTGTGAAGTGTCATTAATATATGACAACCGGGAAGACATGAAACTTTCCAAAAAGTCGGGCAACTCTTCTTTCCCTTCTTCTGTGCTACTTGTTTAAGATCTATCTCCTCAAGCTTGGAAGGTACAGACTCCTCAGTTTTCCTCTCTTTTTTAGCTTTGTTTTGTTGTTGGTTGGGGAGATCGAATGGGTCATTGATCTGCTAGCAAGAAATTTCTCGATAGAAACACCTATATATAAAATGTGAGAAAGTAGCAGTGAATTTACAAGAAGCTACCAAGAACAGAATATATGTCTATATATGTACTAGAATAAGTAACGTCATGAAGTTTCAAGGGATTGGATGGAAACGAGCTGAGGTTTCATGGAGGTGTCAAATTGCAAGTTGCTGCAACACACCTTTCTATCCAGCATGTATAGCTTCACAACGATCTGGCAGGCTTTGAATGGATTCTAAAATACTACCAAGATATCAAACCGCAACAGCTGTGAAGCTTTGGTTGAAATGTCCAACCCAAAGCTGTGTGCACTACTTCTAAAGACACAAGCATTGTCTATATACTTATAAAAGGCTGTCCTTTTCTTTTCCGATAAAGTTCCTCGCAGCTCCAGCCTCCAGGAGACAAGACAAGAAAGACGGATCTTTGATGTTCGCCCGCTCGCAGCGATAAAAAAATAGAAGGGAAAAAAAGTGTTGGACACTAGGAATCGCCAGTAGTAAAGAATCGAGCTACACTATTGGATTGGACAAATCGTGGATTCCAACAAGTAGAACTTGTTCTAGATAACTTCTTCCCACAAACAAATGAATGACTGGATGGTTACAAAACTTAATAATAAATTCATTTATTTCTTTTTCCTTTTTCCTATCAGAGAGAGTACCATTATACGACTCATAAGATGTCCTGTAGCCGGGCCTTCTTCTGCTTCTGCTGCTGCTGCTGCTGCTGCTGTAAGTTGGCATAGCACTGCTGCTATACTTGTGTGTGTAAGAATTCGTAGAGCGTAGCTAAGTGTAGACCATCCATACGACACCCGATCAGCCAAGAACACATTCAAGGTTCCGGAAAGCGATTGCTCCTCCAGGCCACAAAAAAAGATGCTTCCTCTCTTCCCTACTCTTCATCCAGCTCCAGAAATCTGTGAATTAAAAGACAAAGCGGACGGAAGCGCGGCCAGCAGCGGCGGAATGGATGGATTCATTCAACACGGATCCAGAAATGTTCACAAAATAAATGTAGAAACGAGAAAAGCACACAAAAACAACGCACAGAGATGAATGCGTTTCGTGGTGTTCGTGCGTGCATGCACACATAGTCGCGTACGGATTGTCTGGGGCGCCCGTACGACGCTGACATAGCCCTAAAATCCGAGAGAAAGTACCCCACTCCACAGTGATGGTGTTTTTGTGGGGTCGTTGCTAACTGTCGCTGTTGAAATGAGTGCTGGCTGGCGAGCTCCCAGTTCACGGACCCTGGATCGTTTACTATAAGCTAGACTTTGTTTTTCTTTTCTATACTGCCACCTTTTACTGTGCTGCGATAGCGATCGATCGCTAGAGATGATACAAGATACTTCATCTTGCGTATTCTCTCTCTCTCTCTCTCTCTGTGTTTCTCTGTGCGTGTGGTGGTTTTCAGTTGGGTGTCTTTCTCGCGAAGCAAACAACACCAGGGGCTATTTCCTCCAAATTCTGTCCTCTTGTGCATTGATTCGGAGAGTGATCCTACATATCCTTTTCCACGAGACAATGAAAGAAACAAAATAGAAAACAAGAGAAGATACATTGGATCCAAACAGACAACATGAGAGAAAGATAATCTTCAATCTCGGCCAATCTCCACCGTCGAGAACGTTTGGACCAATCGTACGGTATAGATTAGGCTTTTTCCTTTCAACATACTAGCTCCTACATTCCTTTCTATGCCTATGTTGTAGAACCATGCAAGTATGTAGTTTTTATTGCTCCAATGGACGTGACGTAGCATGAGCGTCATGGGAACAAGGAAAAGTTGGCGCAACTTTGTTGCGTACTTCACACGAGAAACGAAACAAGGCTAGTGTTTCCTTCTTCCTTTTTCTAAAACTTAAAAATTCCTTTTTTAAGATTTTGCGACAACTTTAGTTGCAAGGGGGATCTCTGCAGGAGATCTCATTGTCTCACTTTGAATCCTTCCGTTTTGTTTGTGTTCGTCAAAATCAAATGGATCAGCGATAGAATATTGCTTTAAGTCGCGGCTTCGCGTGTTGTTTTCCTCGAAAACTCTTGTCAATGTCACGAGCAGAACTCCTTTTCTAAAAGGACGAGCGACTTTGTCCCGCAACTGTACGTTTCAGCGGTAGGACGATTAAATCAACTATACTGCTTTTTAAGGTTAAGCTATAGATAAGCACGGAGGGAATCTTCAAAGTACTGATGATGCGTGAGCTCGTTTTTCTTTGGTGCATGAATGAAGCCACGAAGTCGAGCAAGCAAGCAGCAAGGGATACAGCTTATAAAACAAGAAATCGCCTCGATCCAAAAGACCGGGCTTGAAACATCCGAGATTCCGGTTGATTCGATCGATCCAGCCAGGAGGAGCCCCGCAAGAACGAGACACTACGTACAACATTGATCGCATAGAAAATGAGTTTCGATTCGTTACTGATATTAATCTTGTCTCATCGTGATCATTGCTTTGGGTTCTCGTGGATTGTATCAAACAACATGATAATCCCCAGGGCGACCTTTTCAAATTCAAAGCCAGCAAAAGATACGCTCAAACACCAATCTAGTAACATGTGCGGCCAGATAGTCTTTGTGTACAAACTGAGCAAAAACACTTAAAAAATGATTAGTTTAAAAGGATCATGACATGTTCCACCCCAACCAAGTCCCTCCTCCCCAAAGCCACTTTGTTTTCTTGTTTTCTAGCTTTAGGGCAGTGTGCATGCACGAGGCCGCCACCTTTTCGCACTTCCATGGGTCAAGATTTGTATACAATAGAGGAAGAAACTCCTTAACAGGAATGTGGACTGGAAGCTTGAACGAGAGAACCTCTCCGCCTTTATAAAGTTGACGCAGCACAAGCCCCACCATTTTTGCGGTAAGTGCGAGGCGAGGGCATCTCAGGAATCCTCGAAAAAGAGAACACTGCAAGTCCAAAAGCGCTTACTTTTTTACCCCTTCAAACGAAGAATAATAACAATCACAAATGGAGGCTGATTAATAATAATACATGCTTCTGAGGTCTTTTGGCGCCCACCTGGAGGCATAAGACCACTTTGATTAAAATCGACCATATGATGTTTCTAGAGCCGGTGCCCGAATATTCGCCATGGCCGGGTCAGTTTTTTGGTCACCAAAAGCGACAGTGCAAAAAATAAAAAAATTGGAGCGGTACGGAAGGCGTGCATTTACCGCGGACAACGACGGAGTTTAAACTTGAAATTTCATCTTGCAAGGTAAAATAATATGGATCAACTTGGTGATAAGTACTTCGGTACTTAGTAAAAGAGAAGGAGAGGGGCTTTTCTTCCGTCACGACACACACACACTTACACCCGCAGAGCTTCCAAGCATTGTCGGATTGGTTTTAGGGATCCGCGTTTTCTCGCGCAGGCCTCCCGTGATCTAGAGTCGCGATTCGCAAGGCGCGGATTTTCTCCTCCCCGGCGCCCTAGCGGATGCAGCGGATTGGAGAGGAGGGGTGGGGGATGCGCGGCGCCAGCGCCGGCGGCTTAGATCACTCCAGCTCTAGCTCGGTGGGTGTTCTTCCTTTTCTATCGATCTCTCTCTCTCGCTCGCGCTCTCTCTGTTCTTTTGATGCTTTCTTGCTTGCATTCGGGTCGTGAATCTAAATGCTGGTTCCCCCAATTTGGTAGTGCTAGAGGATGTGGATGCCTCTCGCAATTCCGGGAAAAGCCCCAAATCTTGGAGCGAGTGTGAGTGTGAGAGAGTAGTTGCGTATAGGAAAGTGTGAAAGATTATAGAGCTTTCCTCGCTCGTCTAGTCCTCCTTGCCACATTCTAGAAAGATTTCTAGCTTGCTAGCATGCAAGCGATCTGGTGTGAGATGTGAAAGCAAAAAAAAAAAAAAAGTGAGAGAGCTATTTTTATTTTTTCCTTTTCATTTTTATTCAACAGGTTGTGGTCATTTTAATTTGTCTTTCTTTTTTTTTAAAAAAAGTTTTATTGTGTTGGTTTTACTGACATGATGAAGATCCATTTGGTTGTTACAGACGTGAAGAGCCAAGAGAATCCATTTCCAGAGGAAGGAAGAAACAAGAGGCAATGGACGAAGAATCGTCAAAGCAGTTCTCGTTGGATTTGAGCTTGAGAACAGGCGACTCGGACGGAGCAATGGCATCGACAGTAACAGTGTTTAGGAGGAGCAGCAGCAGCGACGAGCAACAGCAGCAACTACAGCACTTCCACCACCATCAACAACAACAGCAGCAGCAGCAGCAGCAGCAGAGCTCGAGTAACTTCCTTTCGGTCGATCGATCGTCCGTGGGGTACAACATGTTCCAGCAGCAGCAAAGCTTGATGGAGGAAGACAGTCCCCTTGACGAAGATCACAGCGACGAGATAGTCGGGGACAACGAGCTCAAGGCGAGCGAGTGGGTCTCTCCAAGCTCTAGCTCGGATCGAGGGGGCGGAGGAGGAACAGCGACGCCTCCTCCGTCGACCACCACCATGCTCGATGGCGCCGGCAGCGGCGTGCAGGGGTCGGAGCCCAGGCAATTCGCCTGCACTTACTGCCAGCGGAAGTTCCCGAGCTCGCAAGCTCTCGGCGGCCACCAGAACGCGCACAAGCGGGAGCGCACCGCGGCACGGAGGATCCAGCGGTGTGGCACGGCGGCGGCGGCGGCGGCGGCGGCGGCAGCAGCGGCGGCGGCGTCGAGCACCATAACCAGCAGGTTCACGGGCCTCGGCCAGCCAAACTTTGGAGCTTTGCACCATCACCACTTTGGTCACGGAGGAGGAGGAGGAGGAGGAGCTGGAGGAGGAGCTGGAGGAGGAGGCGGAGGAGGAGGAGTTTCTTCCAGTGGAGTGACTTTGAGTCGATCGCTATGCTTGCAAGCTCACTCCGGTAACCACAAGACCTCTCCACAAGGCGTTCTCTCGGACGCTTCCGCCATTCAAACCAGCGTTGGAAACGGTCTCAGCGTCACCAACGCGAGCTCTACGTCGCAGCTCCCGCAGGGACACCATGGCTGGTCCAAGCCTTTCATCTCGACGCAGCCGGGGGTGGGGAAGTGCGTTGCACCCGAGATGATTGGAAAGTTTGGACGAGGCGTGGGTGCCAAGTTCAACGATATGTCCGGGGGTGGCGGTGCCGCTGGTTTCGGATTCGATGATGCGATGAGCAGCAGCAAGAGATGGCCGGGGAGTTTTCACTTCCTTCCCAGCAGCACCGCAGACCAAGTTCTTCACGCGGCCGCTACTGCCGCCGCCGCCAGCAATTCGGGAAGTTTCCAAAGATGTGTTGTCCAGAACCCGGGACTCCAATGGGAAGAGTCGTCGCCGCTCGATCTCTCGCTACATCTCTAGAGGTTTTTTTCTTCTTTTTGCTTTTTTGCTTTCTAGCTCTCTCATGCTTGGCTTTTCTTCAGACAGTTTTTTCATGCGGATCACACAGCCAGAGACGATAGAGATGGTCAGTGTGAAAAATCGGTATCCGTCCCCGCTGTAATTTTTTTTTCCTTTTTTTCTGCTTTTCTTTTTTCTTGTCACTCTTTGGTTTATGAGCTGGTCTTTTTTTTTCTTATGTTTGTCTAAGGTGTACACTATTTTACGTAGCTAGCAGTGTGAAAGAGAGCCATTTGATGTGAATTTGGATAGTGCGGAGACATCCTCCTTTCTCTGAAATACAAGAGCGTCGTTATCAGTTCCATTTCGAGGTGATGTTCTTGCCAGTGTTCTTCACTATACGGTGAGATTCGTTTTAAGCCTCTGCTGTCTGTTTCTCTAGAGGCAGCGGGCTTTAAAAAATCGCTCGCGTCGCCATAGCTCCGGTACAAACCAGTCGAGATCTTCTCACTCACTTTGTGTGTGAACGACGCTAGAGCTGATGGAGATATGGAGACTTTGGAGTGATGCCAAGTGTGCTTGAATCCTTCGTATCATCTATATAGTTTTTTCTTTTCGGTTCTGTTGGGAAGTGAAGTACTTTGTAATGCAAACACTGGCGCCATGGCTGCCAGAGCTCAAAGTTATGAGCACGGCTTTGATTCGGTTCCTTTGCAATGAATTTATAGATCTTTTTTTTCTTTCTTTTCTCTCTGGGGTTTTTGTTGGAAGCAATCAAGTTGACGAAGATGGGCGCGAGTACTTTGTAGCGCTTGTTTGTTTTTGCCTTAAACCCAACACTAGTTCCTACTCCACACAAAAAGGGCCCTCTTTGGATGGAGTGTACAAGCAAACACTGGAATCACTCACACTCGTCACTGTCTCTAGCTGTTGACAATCACTTCCATCACGCGCCAAAAAACCATCTCTCGCTGCTTTCACTGTGTTGGAAATCGACAGCACTGCGAGCGGCGCGCGCCAAAACGAACAAGGAACCAAAACAGCCCTAACTTTAATGCCTATCTGACACGTGGACGTACACGCGTCGGAAGCGGAAGAGGGGCCCTAGATTCTCGCCGACCGTGGCCAGACACGTGGCTATCTGGATAAGATTCTCTACAAAGAAAAGAATTTTTCCTTTACACTTACCTCTTGTAAAAATTTTGTTGTGTCCGTGTCAGGGATCGAACGTCGGACCTTGCTTCGTTCCTCCCCACGACGCCTCGTATACGAGGCGCGGTAGAGCGCTTCTGTATGGATCCTGGCCTCGCTTTTGGAGCAAGTAGGAGATCCCCAACTCCACCTGGGTTTTTACTTTGAGGTAGAGAGAATCTGCGTGTTTTCGCTCTTGGATCCCTGGAAGAACTCGAGCATTAGAAAGGAAGAAGCGAAAGTTTCGCTGGATCTTACCAGCAGTGGAGATTGGAGCTCCAAACAAGCAGTAGAATCGGCCAGGAACTTTGGGAGCGAAAACTGGAAGGTAGAGAGGCTGGTTTGCTACTTCGCCAGCTGATTTAGGCCTGGAAGAACAAGAATGTTCACGTAAAAAATACCATCTTTTCCTACCTGAAGTTGGAGTCCGTTGTGAGTACTAGCCGATCTTTCAAGAAGAAATTGCTCCTTATGTCATCGTAGTCCATCAAGAGCTGGAAAACGAGACGAATCACACTTAACTTTGAGCATGCGATTGCATGGACTTAATTACCTCAACCATGTCATCTTCGCCAACGCAGCTGAAAGGAATTATGGTGGCACCGAAACGCGCAGCCATTCGGACAAACTCGGACTGTTCTGGCCAAAAGAGCTTGTATTCCTCTCCCTGGGAAAAAAATCCAGATGGTAAGTTGACAAAGAAAAGAAGAGATAAATACCATACCCTTCTATGCAAAGCCTCGCGAGCACCACCCGGATAGAGAAGAACCGAGTGTTTACTGGATAGAAGCTTGTAAAAATTCTTTCCAGTGACGGGTGTAGCACCAAAGAGACCGATCTGATCGATGAAGCCTTGGTCCGAGTACTCGGAGTGGAACCTGTGGGAGAAGAGCAAAGGATGTGCCAGGCCTCGGGCGAGCAGCTTCTTTTGTTTGTAAATCTCCCCGACGATGAGTGAGAGCTCCAGCCCCATGAGCATATGGTTGCCTACGAAAAGAAGTGGCTCCTCGTCGGGTATAGCGGACAGGTCTTTGATTACTTGGCCGTTTTTATCAGTTGACAAGAACACGGGGCTCACAAGGTGGCGAAGAGTCCTGCGAAAAAAGAAAGAAAGAAAGAAAAAAGAGCAAGAGAAAGTAGAGGAAAAGAGAAACGATCAATCAGCATTCACAGCTACTAGTGATTTGCTACTACCTTGTGCTTTCATATTGTCGATGAAACTCCTCTTTGGTAGGCAAAACGTAGTCTTTGACAATGTCTCGCTCTTTTGATCTTCTATACATCAGCGCGGATTTTATGGTGGTAGCCAAGCTGGGACCATCTTCCTGTCAAGCTCTATCAGTTTCAAAGCACGAAAAGTGTTAGAAAACAAACGGGACAAACCAGAAGTAGCGTGTGGCCGCTGTCTTTGAAAATTCGGACTCTACAATTCTTTAGAGCAGCTTTCAATCGCTTCGCTTCCTCAGCGCTTGGCAGCATCTGGTCTTTCATGCTACAGAAAACAGAGGAGGATATATAAAAGAAAACGCCCACTTGATTAAACCAAACCTTGCGAGAACCAAAACTTCCGCCTTGACGGCATGCAGCCTCGAGTTTGCGTACAAGGCCCCCGCCCGGATGAGTTTTAGCTTCCAGCCGAGCGAGCTCTTGGGAATTATTCGGCCCAAGCCCTTGCATTCGCAAGAGAAAAGATCAAAATCAAACTCGAAGGTCCACAAACTTTCGAGGAGGAACTCACCGGTAGTGTTGGAAGCATATCGACCAAAGAGTCGGCAACTTTCTGTGATCTTTCAAATGGCTGCTGTAAGTCTTTTGGGACTTTGGCAGAAGCCATGCGAACAGGATCACCTGAAAGAGACAAAAAGATTAATTTGTAAAACAAAGCTTGGATCGTACCCATTGTGAAGCTGAGGAGGTATGGAACATAGTGGAACGCCTCCTCGGGAACTAAATCCAAGACTGGAAATAGAGGTTGAAGCGGAGATCTTTGAATGGAGGTGGCTGGAACAGAAAAAAGGAAAAAGATCGATTCAAAAGAAGGAAAAAAACTGGTTTTTTCTTTAGACTTGTCTTACCAGGGTTGACAAGGATGAGGACGAGATCGAGCGAAGGATTCCGTGCAGCCACCGCCAACGCCAATGTAGCTCCAAACGAGTCACCCACGAGAAAAATGGGCCTGCCGGGATGGAGTCCGTGCTCCGCCTTGACTGCGCCTTCCACTAGCTCCAGCAGTCCTAGAAAAAACGAAACCAAAGGCAACCTAAAGTTCAAGGAAAATATGAACATTTTTCAAACGTCAAAGGACAAAAAGTAGAGAAAAGTTGCGAAAGCAAAGAAGAAAAAAGTTTCTACCTTCGAAGGGAGTGCGGTCCATGACTGGAATGTGGAGGCATCTCACCTCAAACAGCCTGGAATTCAAAGAGAAGTTTTTTCTCAGATGATCGAGCAGAAAAACGAGAGAGAGAGAGAGAGAGAGAGAGAGAGGGAGAGAGAGAGAGAGAGTTTTTCTTGGTTTATGGATCAAGAGAGACATACGGTGCTAGTGTTTCGTGATGGAGGATGAGACCAAGGCCAGTGCCATCCATGCCTGGAATCACAACGCTAGAAACCAAAGTCAGTCAAGGAACCAGTTTTTAAACGGAATGAAAGTACAGCCTCTCATTCCGTTAAAAATCTGAGCAAGTAGTACCTGGAATGAAGAGCAGCAGTGGAGAAGAATCTGCCAAAATCTTGGAGGACGACGAAGGAGAAGAAGATGGCGATGGCGAATTGAGAGGACAGAACCAGCGAGGAGGGCCGCCATCGGCGCATTTAATCAGCTCCAGTGACTGCTCCATGTAGTCGTGGATGCTTGTGGGAACTTTTTCGTCTTCCTCCTCCTCTTTTTCTTCCTCTTTCCGTTCGTCCCAGGAGGAATTTGGAGGTGGGATCCTGCTCTTGCCGGGAATTCTCTCGCGGAAGCTGCCGTTGCCATTGATCTTGAGCTTCTTCTTGTCGTGTGGACTGTCGAATTCGTCGGTGATGTTGGGCTTTGTGTCGGTCACCATAGCCGCCTTGACGATCCCGCGGGTGAAGAGCTTGGCACCAAAACGAGATCTGGAGCTGCCACCGAGATTTACTCCCGGCATTGGAATCGCTCCAGCCATCTCTTCTGCCCTTGGATGAACAGGAAGATCAACACAGAAAAAAAGAAGAAAGAACTAGGTATGCTATCTCACTAGCATCTCTCTCTCTACCTAGAACACGAAGAACTTGGGATGGATGTGTGTGCCTAATTTCAACTTCATAATCGTATACTGCACGGACGATTCATGATCGTGTCACTCACATGTCCAAACAATCTTTTTCTCTCTCTCTCTTTTCCGAGTTTTAAAATCGTTTTAGTTCGTAATTTTCTTTTGCATCGCTTGCATCACTTGTTTCTATTTTGCTCGAACGGCGACCGGCAAGAGATTTGGCTGTGGCAGAGAATGGAGATATGGCGGCTGCTAATTGCCCAGCCTTTTTAAAAGTTCCAGAATATGCAAACACACCTTTTCTTATTTTATTTTTCTTTTGCATTTTTTTGTGTGGGCGATGTTGTGCTTCATCGCTCCAATGCAAGCTTTACACATCACAATCAATCAATCAATCAATCAATTCAGGGCCAGTAAAAAAACTTGAGGGGAAACAAGCAACCCCAGGAAAGAGGCAGAGTGAATGAAAGCTAGCATCTGTTAAGAAACACGAGCTCAAAAACTTTAGGGCTGGGAGGTGTTTTTGCTGCACTGCAAGCTAGCCCATGCCAGAATTTCTGGTGGTCCCTCAAATGTGAGAGATCACACCCCACAACAGCCCACCCACAAGGAATTAATGTGCAATGCTTCCAAGGGAATAGAATGGTTTTTGGCACTGTCACAAGATTGTTGCTGCCATGCACCATTGTCTTCTGTTATTCTCTTCACTCATCTTCTTTGTCAAACAAATGCTCTG